TATGCATTTAAAAAGTACATAATGTATTTTTACTCAGAGTCAGATGAACAGAATGGATAAGAAGAGGGAAATGGTGCAGAAGAGGATGACGTAGTGAGAAAAATGAAATCAGCTCATATTTATGGAATCCTATGTACAAGGGCTGTAGTTGCTTTTCAATCCCATGAATCAGGTAATATTAATATTCCCATTTTACAGATAAGAAAGCTGAGGCACAAAGGGGTTGTGGAACTAGTAGGTGGAAGAGCCAGGATTTGCACTCGAGAGAAGCAGGAGAGGCAAGGCCAGGGTACCTCTCCCTGTGGTGGGGTACAGAGAGGCCCTGGGGGAATTTTGCTAAATGAATGGAAGAAATGAGCTTTGTCCCTGCCCTTGAGGGAAAGATGACGTTTAATCAGACTGACAGGACCCTCCAGGATGAAGTATTGCAACACAGGAGAGGCATGCAGTTGATGGAGCCAGTCTGTACAGGGTCCAGGGTTCCCTGACTCCACTGTGTCACTATGCCTGGTGTCAAGGGCTGGGATGGGTCTTTTGTCTCTGGTTTCCACATACCCCTAGCCCCGTAATGTTCTGCCTAGCTTGATGCAGAATAGGTGCTCACTCAACATTTGCTGTCCTGTGATGGGGCTGGCACCCACCATGGGGACAGGCTCTCCAGGGTGGGGCCAGCACAGGGATCCACTGAGATCTCAGTGCTATCTGGCAGACTGTCCTCCCTGCCCTGTGCCCTGGCCTCCTGCTGGCCTGCTCGCCACCCACTGCCCCTTCCAGCCTGGACCTTCTATTCCTCCACCAAGATGTCCCAACAATGCATTCTCTCTTCTGCGCCAAGTGGAGTTGGGGGAATATGAGGTGGGACTGATAATCCAGCTGAGAAAATTGGCTGGATTTCTCGGTAATGGGCACATTCCTGCCTCTGAGCCTTTCTTGTCTCATGTGTCCTCTTCAAAACCTCATCTCAGGTGCCAGCTTTCGGATGGCTTCTCCAGCCCTACCCTGGTCATCCAGGAGGTGGAAGCAGAGGTGAGGGAAGGGGCCCAGTGGGAAAAAACAGAACAAAGGAAGAGCTGCAGGTCCCTCCTCTCTTCCACACCCACATCACCTAACTCATTCTATTGAGCCATTGTTTTTTGCTAGATAGTTTTGTTTTTTAGTTGTGGTAAAATATACATAACATTTACCATTTTATACCATTTTAATTGTACAGCTCAGTAGTGTTAAGTATATTCCCATTGTTGTGAATCACATCTCCAGAACTTTTTCATCTTGCAAATCTGAAACTCTGTGCCCGTTAGACAACTCATTTCCCTTTCCCCCCAGGCCCTGGCAACCCCATTCTACTTTTCATCTCCAGGAATTTACTGCTCTAGGTGCCTTGCATAAGTGGAATCATATAGTGATTGTCTTTTTGTGACTGGCTTGTTTCATTTAGCATAATGTCCTTAAGGTTCATTCATCCATGTCACAGCATGTATCAGAATGTCTTTTCTTTTCAAGGCTGAATAGTATTCTATTGTACAGATAGACCACATTTTGCTTATCCACTGACCTGTCAATGAACACATGGGTTGCTTCTACCTGCTGGCTATTGTGAATAATGCTGCTAGAATTTGGCTTCTTAGAGCATCAAGACTGCTATTCATTTAGAACCAGGGGATCTACGTACTTTTCTAAGAGCATTATATCATCTCCATTTCACAATAGAAGAGAAAGGGCTCTAAAAGTTTATGTCCCTGCCCCAGATCCCACAGCCAGTAAGTGTCAGGACCTGGCTTTGGATTTATATCTGCACCAAACCTCACATTTAGCCCCTGCTTTCTAATCCCTCCTTCCCTGAGGGTGTTTGTTTTTGTCTCTTATTCTGCTAGGAGCTGTACCAGGCGCATGTGCCCCTTCTGAGGCTAGGAACCAGAACTTACATAGGATCATACAGCATAGTGGCTAAGGATCAAAGACTGGGAATCCAGACTGCCCAAGTTCGAAGTTGGCTCCTTGAGTTTATGAACTGTGTGACATTTGCCAAATGATTTAACCTCTCTGTGCCATGATGGATTAGTGATGTCTGCTATGGGCTCAGGCTAGGGGACATATGCCTCCTATCTGCCTCTCTGGACAAAATGCAAAGCTTGCTTGAAACCCTGCCCCACACCCAGGCTCCTTCCAGATTCTTGGTCTTGGAAGTAACGATGTTTCCTACAGAACTGCAAGAGCAGAGAGGCCACCTCTGAAGACTGGGTTTGTGGCATGACTTACCCTGGGGGGATTTGGTTTTCATAAGAGTGGGAGAGCCTTTCCTGACTGATAGTCTGTTTTCCAGGAGGCAGCAGGGTTGAGTTCCCTGCCCTGTTGGCCATCAGGCCCCAGGTGGAGGAGATTAGAATATATGAGGGCCTCCTCTCCCAGCTGTCCTCCCACACCCTGTGTCTTCCTGTCCCTTGAGCTGTTGTTTATTGTCCAGAATCTGGCCACACTCATTTTCTTTCTTTCTTTCTTTCTTCCTTCCTTTCTTCCTTTCTTCCTTTCTTCCTTTCTTCCTTCCTTCCTTCCTTCCTTCCTTCCTTCCTTCCTTCCTTCCTTCCTTTCTTTCCTTTCTTTCCTCTTTCTTTCTTTCTTTCTTTCTTTCTTTCTTTCTTTCTTTCTTTCTTTCTTTCTTTCTTTCTTCCTTTCTTTCCTTTCTTTCCTCTTTCTTTCTTTCTTTCTTTCTTTCTTTCTTTCTTTCTTTCTTTCTTTCTTTCTTTCTTTCTCTTTCTTTCTTTCTTTCTTTCTTTCTTTCTTTCTTTCTTTCTTTCTTTCTTTCTTTCTTTCTTTCTTTCTCTCTTTCTTTCTTCTTTCTCTCTCTTTCTCCTTCCTTCCTTCCTTCTTGCTTGCTCACAAGAGCCTCACTCTGCTGTCTAAGCTGGAGTGCCATGGCACAATCTCGGTTCACTGCACCCTTGACTTCTCAGGCTTAGACTCAGCCTCCCAAGTAGCTGGGACCACAGGTGGGTGTCACCATGTCTGGCTAATTTTTTGTATTTTTTTGTAGAGACGGGGTTTTGCCATGTTGCCCATACTGGACCTGAACTCCTGGCCTCAAGCAATCTGCCCATTTCGGCCTCCCAAAATGCTGGGATTACAGGCTTAAGCCCGGCCCTGGCCACATTTCGAATGTATTTACAAGGTGCCTACTGGCTCCTTCTTCCACAGGGTTTCTAAGGCCTGTAGTTCTCCCTGCTTCTCCTCCTGGCCCCCGCATCTTGTTAAAGCAAGTCTTCATCCAAGATCCTGGGAGGGGCCGCATAGGCGCTCTGCTTGCTCTCGCCCTGAACAAAACTTCTGCTGAACCCAGGGCATTGGTGTGGACACCAGGCTGCAGGGCAGTGGGGTTGGGTATGGCATGGGGCAAATGTGGGAGGATGACATCAGCACCACTTGGGGTGACAGGAAGAAAGCAGTGCGTGTCACAAAGGATGATGGTGTGGGTGTGGGCTGTAGACAGGTGACTTCAGGGAATGTGGCTGCTGAAGGTGTGAGGAGGTGGGACTGGAGCAGTTGTGTGTGTGTGGTGGGGGGCAATAGTGTGAGTGTCCTCATAAATGTCACCATGAGTGACTGACAGAGTAGGCAGGTGATAATTCCAGTGGGTGACTATCTCGGCGGCACTGCGATGGGTGGGGAGCCAGAATGCGTGAGAGGATGCTGGAAGCAGGCGCCAAGACACCTCTGAGCTTGCCTCCTGGGGACGTCCTTCACGCTGGAAAGTAAGAACGAATGTGTTTTCTCTGCCTGTTGAAAATGATTCCGAGCGAAGGGCCGCGCCTCCTGGCCGGCGCAAGCCTGACTCCGCTGTGTCAGAAGATGATCTTTCACAGATGCTGAAAAGTTAGGAAGTGTAATTACGGGGAAATTGCGCTCAGGCAAACGAGTACAAGCCAAGGGCTGCCAGGCCCCATTCCTCACCTGAACGCCCTGATTGTGGCCGACAGCCCCACATCTGTATGTGCTTTGCAGCCAGAAGAGGAAAGAGAGGGGAAGCAGGAACGGGGCGGGGAGGGGAGGGATAGGGAGGGGACCTGGAGCCACCCCTGCCAACGGCTCCCTGGCTTCCTCAGGGAGGAGCTGAGGGAAGGCCGAGGCCTGGGGCACATTCCTGGGTTCTGAGGGCCTTCTGGGGTGCCCTCATTCCTGGGGGCGATGGGGAGGAGGAGCTGGGGAAAAGAAGTAGAGCTGAGGCCACTTCTATTCTATCCTCTTCACTTTACTGGTGGGGAAACTGAGGCTGCAGATGGCCAAGGAGCACACAGTGAGTTAACAGTGCAGGCAGGATAAGATCCTCCACCTTCTGAACAGCAGGAGCTCTTGCCAGAGCCCCTGAGGGGCAGGGTGGGAGGGGCAAATAAGGAGCAGACCTGGGGAGCAGCAGGGTGCCCCTGCCTCCCAGTCGGCATCTGGTACCAGCCTTTGGGGTAGCTCTGCCCACTGGGCAGCCTTGGCATTCCTTAAATTCCTGGCTCTCATCCTCCCACCGGGGCTCCTGCCCCATGGCCCCTCTCTGCTGGGGCAGCTGGGACTCCTCTCAGCAGACGGACCTGCAGCTCCTCCTTTGCTCTGTTTCTTCCCACTGGGCCCCTCCCCTCGCCTCGCCTCTCCTTTCAGCTCCTGGGATAGCCCAGAGTTTGGAGCCTCCCGCTCTTGTTCAAACCCTCCTGGGCCAACTCAAGGGCACCGTGATGCCCTCTGCTCCCCACAGGATGGGCACTCCCTCCCTCCCACTCCTTGGCCCTCTCCTGGTCTATGGAAACAATTCTTCCCATTGGGCATAAGTTTGCTCCCCATCTCCATGCTCCTGGTAACAAGCTGCCCTGCCTCTGAGCCTCAGAGGAGGTACAGGCAGGCCCAGGCTGGATAATTATCCCAACGTCCTCCTGGTCCCAGAAATTGGGTCAGGGAAGGACATGTGACTCCACAGGGCCAATCAGAGTTCTTCCCTGAGAAGGACACTGGGAGCAGGAAGCTGGCTTCAGTCCCTCTGCAGCTGATAGACTGGGAAGCCGGAGGTTGCAATCCAGACTTTTCTTTATCCTGTAAAGTAGCCCACCTGCAGGAGGTAAGAGTGACACATGCAGACAGTTAGAGGTGGGGGCAGGGCATGAAGACATGATTGATTGTTAGCATTTTTGAACTCTGGATTTAGTCCTGTCTTCATCCCCATACCTCCCAGTTGTATTAGCTAATTTTTATTTTATTCCATTCTCATTCTCATTCCTATTCTATTCTATTCTACACTCAGTGCATTCAACTGGGTTTCCATCACTTGCAATCAAGAGACCTGATGAATGCAGCTGTCACAGAGCTGGAGCTTGGGTGTCCTAGGAAGTGTTGATGGGTAAGTTGGCAGGACTGAGGTAGGACCAGTGCCAGAGAGGATGATGGTCCTCTCTTGGCTGGGTGGGGCTTGGTAAAGGGCAGTCTGACGCAGTAGAAATTTGCCAAGGAATAACCATGCACAAAAGAATTAAACAATAAAACCCCAACAGAGAAGCAAATGTACAGCTTTTAGTTCCAGCTGCAGCCATTGAAGGAATGCATGTCCAGAGGAGAGAAAAGCACACACATCCCCAGGGGGAAAGGCCATCTAAGGGAAGGCGGGGTTCCAGGCGATACTCAACCTGGAGGACACACCTGGGGATGAGGCATAGGAGAGGAACTGGAACAGGAGAAGCAGGGCAAAACGGGCGTGGAGTGTGGGCTCCACTGTCACCAAGAGTCACTGAGGGGGAAGCATCAGTGCACAGCCTGGTGATGCCACTAGTAATTGACATTTAGTAGCCCAAAACTCAGTGGCCCATTTTATTGTACTCCAGGTCCAAGTATCGTACCCTTTTAATACACCTGGCTTTTCCAAGAAGTTTTCTGCCTGGAATGCTGGCTGGGAAAGGGCAGGGAAGCCCTTGCACAACCAGCTCGAGCTGAGTGCCTGGAAATGATGTAAATGTTGGTGGTTTTGTCTAGTTTGGTGTCTTGCCTTAGCCACACCTGAAGTCATTCTTGTAACTCAACGACTTTGCTTCAGACACAGCCAATGAAGAGGGGAAGGGAGAGTGTTTGCAAAGCACCTAGAATGTACCAGGCAAAGTTACATACCTTTACTTCTTTTCATTGATCTTACATCTGTGATCTCATTTAATCCTACAATGACCCCATGGGGGATATGTTATAATTCCTACTTGATAGATGAGAAAACTGAGGCTCAGGAAGATTAAGTAACTTGCTTAAGGTCTCTGAGCTAGAATGGGGCAGAGTGGGAACTCCAACCCAAATGTGTGTGTTTCTAAACTCTGACCTTTCTCCAACGCCTTGCTTTCTCTGGAGAACTAAACCCTCCCTTGGAAGGACATGATGGAAACTCAACAGCCAACTTGACAGTCAGGAACTGCATAGTCTCCTCTGAATGATTTATGATTACATCAGTGATGAGAGTCTGGGTAAGCCCTAATCCCCGCTCACTAGGGTGCAATGTACGTGGCAGGTCCTGGCTCCATCTTTTAGCAAACATCGTTCCAGAGAGCTAGAGCCCACACCTAACAAGAAATGGCCAACTTCAGCCTCTCAGAATCCAGGCTCTCCAGGGGAAGGAGGGGCTGCTGCAGCACCCGCCCTCCGTCTGTGATGTCTCCCTCACATGGGCTGCTTCGGGCTTCCTCCTGCCCGGTTCTGGCTGGGCAGTGATAATGATGGCGTTGCGCTCCGCTCAGGCCTCCTCTGGAGTGCTTGCAGTGACTCCCTTCCCTGAACAGAAATGTCAGGCTGTGCCTGCTGCAAGGCTTGCCCTTCTACCCACTTCAGTCTGTAGAAATCCTATTCCTCTCCAAGGCATAGGGCCAGTCCCATCTCCCTCACAAAGCCCCTCCTTATGCCTTAACCAGATGCGATTTTTTTTTTTAAACCCCTTTCCCCAGAATCACATCTTGTGATTGACTTGAAGGTTAGCTCCAATAGCAGCTCCTATGAACACATCCACCCTCCAAGAAGACTTCATCTCTCTTCCTCCAGGCCTGCAATATGCAGTTCCTAGAATGTAACCAGGATGAGCTGTGAAAGTGTCAGTTTTTTCTACCAGGGCACCAGAACTCAGGACACCCTGACTTTGCCTAATCAGTGACCTCCCAGGACTGAGATGACAACCCGTGTTTTCCAGAATGATGGTTGATGCCTCGTCTGTGTCTCTTCTCTGAATTTATCTAACATGCCTGGGATTAGAGTCATGGAAGTAGTTCCAGGAATACGATCAAGCCCAGGGCTCCTTGTACCCCCCTGCCCCAGGCACCAGGGACTTCCATGTCCTCTCCAGCATTGTTGCTGTTGAAACTCCTCCAACACCAAGAAGTTCAACCTTGGGTAAATAACCTCTCTTCTCTGAGCCTTAATTTCCTCCACAATAGGATGAATAAGTTGGTCAAAATCATCTCTAAAATCTCTCTTAGCCTAAAAATCCTCCCAGCAGGTTCTCACAACAGCAAACCTATGAATAATGGTGAACAAATTCTCGAATAGTGGAAGCCGAAGCACTGAAACAGGCAATTAAAGCAGAAAGGATCGACTGGGTTGATGAGGATGTTGACAATGATGATAATATTTATCATGATCATTTATTGCGTTGCCATGTTAGGCATTTTGTATATACTTTCTTGGATCTTCCCAATAAACCTTTAAGGGGAGTGTAAAACCCATTTTATAGATGAGGAAACTGAGGTTCAGGGAGCTGATGTGATTTTTCCCAGTGTCCTACCAGCAAGTGGCTAAGAACCTGGAGCTGGATCCCCTGGGTCCCCTCTGGTACTCTTCTGGAACATTCCAGGCAGGCCCAAGTGGCCAGAGCAAGCCCCGCCTGCCTCCCCACTGCCCTCTGCGGCTGTTTTGCATCCTGCCAGATTCCTGAGGTGTCAGGCCTCATTACAGCCCCGTGCCCCAGTGAGTGTGGAGAGGCAGTTGACAGGTATACAATCTGACCGTGGCTCCCTTCAAATCATCAAGTTGTCTTCAGGCAGGAACACGCCGGGAAGCCAGGCAGAGGCCCCTGGCTTGGCTGCATAATCTGATGCACATTAAAAACATCTTTCGGATGCCTTTTCTTGTTGCATGCTCATTCTCACTCTCTGTTTTGTTTTGATTTTTGTCCTCCATCCAACAAAAGCTGATGAAGTACTCAACTCTCTAGGCTGTCTGGTCCAAGCAGGGTCTCACCAACCGAACAGGTATTCAGGGACTACTGACCTTCTCCGTGTTTGGCTGGCATCTGGGTGACAGTGCCTGTGGCACAGGGCCACATCCTAGCAAGGCTGGACAAGAACCCATACTCTGCCTGTCTGTCCAATTCCAGGGAGTGAGTTCAATTTTACCACGACTCTCAACGGAGAGCCTGGACTAATAATAATCGTTGCCGACATCGAGTGAATGCTTGATTTGGGGGCTGATCCCCTTTTTATGTTTGGGGAATTCTCCACCCCAGGATGAGAGTAGGGAGAGAGAGTCAGCTTTCCACCAAGAAGGGAAGAAAGCTCTCCTGGGGCCTTTGCAACCAGGAAGTGGACATGTGACCAGAGCCAGCTAATCCGATGCTCCTGTCCAAAACTGGACTCCGGCCAGAAGCCATGGAAAGTTCCGCTCCACAACTACAAGTGTCCTAGAGTGGCCGGGCCACAGATGGTAGCAACAGGAGTGGGGTGCCTTGGGTTGCAGGTGGCAAACAGGAAGCCTCATCCGCGGGTTCCACAGCATGGCTTGGATTGTGGTTCTGGGCGCTGACTTCTCTCTTGTTCTGGCTTTGTCTGACCCTGGATTTCCAGCCTTCCTAGAGACAATGAGCTGTTATCTTTCTGCTTAAAGCAGCCAAAGGCCACTTTCGTTGTTAATAACTAAGACCTCTGGCTAGAACCCCTGTGATCGCTTGTTTAATTCTCGTATCAATCCTTCAGGTAGCTATTAGCCTCATGTTACAGACGAGGAAATTGAAGCACAGAGGGATTAAGTAATAGGAAGTCACACAGTAAAAAATGGCAGGGACATGGATTCAAACCCAAGTCTGTGGACTTCAGAGCCTGGGCTCTTAACTACTTCAAGAAAGAGCTTTGGCCGGACGTGGCGGCTCATGCCTATAATCCCAGCTACTCAGAAGGCTGGGGGAGGAGGATCACTTGAGCCCACAAGTTCCAGACTGCAGTGAGCTGTGATACAGCCACTGCACTCCAGCCTAAGGGAAAGAGCAAGACTCTGTCTCAAAAAAAAAAAAAAAAAAAAAAAAAGCTTACAGTAGACTGGATAATGGCCCTCCAAAGATGCTCATGTTCTAATTCCCAGAACCTGTGAATATGTTACCTTATATGGCAAAGGGGAATTTGGAGATGTGATTAAGTTAAGAATGTTATGATGGGGGATTATCCTGGATTACCTGGGTGGATCCATTGTAATCACAAGAGTCCTTAGAGAAGGAAGATGTAAGGATAGAAGCAGAAGTCAGAGAGGAGAGGAGATGCTACGCTGCTGTTTTGAGTGTAAAAGAAGGAGGCCCCCAGCTAAGGAATGTAGGCGGCCTCAGAAGCTGGCAGAGGCAAGGAAGTGAGCATCCAGAAGAAACCAGCCCCATCAACACCCTGACTTTAGTCCATGAGACTGATTTTGGACAACTGGCCTCTAGAACTGCCACATAAGACATTTTTGTTGTTTTAAGCCACTACATCAGTTATAGGAAACTATACAGGGCCAGAAAAATCGTTTCACCTTTTGCAATTTTTGTTGAAGGTAGGCTATCTAGAGAAGGGAACCTTGTGAGGAGCCCAGCACAGTACCCCTAGGGCCTGGCACAGTGCCGGGCTCAGGGCTGCTCTTCTATGTATCTGCATTGAGTGAAAGGATGAATGAGCACAGGATCCCTGATCTCCTGCCCTGGTTGGCCAGCCAGGAAAGATGAAGCCAGCAATGCAGTCATAGCCATGGCTTTGGTCCCAAGCCCAAGAGAAGATCCGGGAATCCCGAGTGGGTCAGCCACGTAGAGGTTTGGGCAGACCTAAGCCCAAAGCTGACCTTGTCAGCCCTATTACCCTTTCCCACCATACCTGTGGCCTCTGTCACTTACAACTTCATGGTGAGGAAAGGCCAAGACAGAATCAGTGAGCTAAAGAGAGAGATCTCCTCTGTGCTCAGGAATGAGCACAGAGGTTGGAGGGCCAGGGCTCAGCCCCAGTCTAGACGGCCATGCTGTGTTTCCTGCTTGAGTTTGCTTGTGGACTAACCTTCACGCCAGCCCTCCAGGTGGCCTTGAATTCATGATGATTTTTTTTTTTCTTTGAGACAGAGTTTTCGCTCTTGCCACCCAGGCTAGAGTGCAATGGCACAGTCTTTGCTCACTGCAACCTCCACCTCCTGAGTTCAAGCGATTCTCCTGCCTCAGCCTTCCGTGTGGCTGGGATTACAGGCACCCACCACCACACCCAGCTAATTTTTATAGTTTTAGTAGAGATGGGGTTTCACCATGTTGGCCAGGCTGGCCTCAAACTCTTGACCTCAGGTGATTCACCCGCCTTGGCCTCCCACAAGTGCTGGGATTACAGGCTTGAGCCACTGTGCCTGGCCCAGATTTTACAATGTTTGTCTTTCTGTGGGACATACCTAGAGGGAACTTGCCTGAGAACAGCTAACATGATACACATCTACCCTCATCCCATTGCCTTTGTCTTATTTCTGGGGAAGTGGCATGTTCTTCAGGAAGGCTAGGCACAGTATATGCAAACGCGGTATTATCTTTGCAACTTTTTTATAAATCTAAATTTATTCCAAATAAAAGCTAATTTAAAAAAAAATAAGAATCACACTAGCTTAGGCATCACTCAAGTGGAAACCAACACAGCGGGCTGGGGTAGCTGTCCCTGCCACTCACACTGGTGGCACCTATTCTTTTCCTCTCTGTGATTTAGACCATCCCAAGCTGTGATGATCCTTCCTACTAAACCAGAAGTTCCTGAGGGCAGGGGCTGTGTCTCGTCACATTCTCTGCATCTGTTACAGAGCATTTACCAGTCACCCTTCTAAACACTTCACACTCCTTTCATCCTCACAACACCTCTGGGAAGAAGTTGCTATTGCTGTCTCCATGTCACAGAAGAGCAAACCGAGGCTAAGAGAGGTCACAAAGCAGGCAAGTGACAGGATTAGGACCAGAAGGACCGGCTCAGCAGTCTGGCTGCATGTCTTAAACCCTCCACCAGGGCAAGCCATACAGCTGGGGGCCAAGCAGACTTGACATGGGGTTAGCATCCCAGCTCTGCCCCTCACCAGCGAGGTGACCCTGGACAAGTTCCTCAGCTGCTGTGAGCTCAGTTCCCTCATCTGTGAAATGCAGAGAACAGTAACTACTTCATATGGAGTAGATAAGATGCAACATATAACCTGCTTAACGCAGAGTGCGACACATCCTAACCATGAGAAGATGGTCAACGGTGGCCGTGAAGATGACATGCAAGTATGATGATGGTGATGTAATGCTGAGTGAGTGGGCAGTGCAGGAGGAAAAGGAACTGTTAGCAGTTTCTGGAGAAGTCCAGGTGTGATGAACTGGGGGCTGGTGGAAGAGCAGAGGGTAGCAGCAGGTAGAAAACCATGTCTGCAGGAGGCCAGAGAGAAGAGAGGGAGGAGCCTGCCGGCATGCCAACATGGCCAGCAGAAAGTGATGATGAGAAAACGGCCCTGCCCCCAGGTCCGAGGCAGACTCTTCGGACTCAGAGAAAGCACAAGTTTCTACCACCACCTCCTGTACTGCTCCAAACTTTGGAAAAATCAGCAAATGAGGCAAGGTCCTGGGCAGCCCTGCTTCTCCCAGGGTAGAAAGGGCTTGGTCTGTTGTTTGTTCCACAGTTAGAAGTAGAGTCTTGTCCCCGCCCAAGCAGAACACTTTTGTTTGGCAGGAGAAGGAAGAGCTGGGCAATGCCAGAGAGGAGCCCCCCCAACGCCACATGCTCTGAGTTCCCCAGCATGCCTACCAGAGCCCAGGTGGGCGTGGAGGCTGTAGGAGCCCTCACCACCCACCAAGCGGAGCTCCAGAGGCCTGGCACCACTGAGAGAGGAGGCGGCTGTCAGCACTGAGCAGAAAGGCATTCCGAGGCGCAAGAATAGCCCGACCACAAGACAGGAAGGCAGTCTCTGAAACATTGTTCTTCCCTGGAACAGAACAGACCACATGTTGGGAGGCCCTGGGGTTTCCTGGAACTGCTGGGAATAGAGGCGCTTTTCCAGGTAGACTGGTTTCCCCTGTGGAGTCTCAAAGCCCTGTACCCGGAGTGGGCACCCTCACCAAGGGGGTGACACCCTGTGCCTGTTCATTTTATGTTAAAGACACTCTCCCACCTGTGGGTGGTGGCAAGAAAGTGCCATTCATGTGACCACCTGTCAGAAGATGGTCCATGCTTTTATTGTTTGTGTGAGACCCTAGGCCACAAGTTAGTGTTGACAGAACTTGGATCCCACTGTGAGTCACAGAAAACGCATAGAGACTTCAGACTCATCCCCGGTCACATAACTTTGTGCATTCAGTTGATTGCTTATTAGACATCAGTCGAGTGCCTTTGTGTAAGGTCTCATTCTAGGAATAGGGGTGGGATGGCAAACAGGATGAGGCCCTGGCTCTTGCATGTTATTCAGTTGTCCTAGTTTACGTCTAGATGGGAGAAAAGAGACAAGGAACAAGGAAACTAAGAAAGACAGCAGATACTTTCAGACGGCAATCAGTAACACCAGGAAAATGAGCAGGGTTATGGGATGGTAGCTGCTTCCATCAGGTGTCAGGGAGTCCTCTGGGAGGAGGTGGCATCTGCGTGAATTCTCTGGAGCTGAGGAGCAGCCAGTCATGCGAAGACTTGGACAAAGGGTATTGGGAGCCCAAAAAACATTCAATGGCAAAGGCCCCAAGGAGGAGCAAGTGAGGAAGGGCAGGGTGGCCAGAGTGGAGTGTGGACAGGGAGGGTGGCACCAGATGAAGGTGGGGTGGACCCAGTGGCTGGGCTGTGTAGACACAAAGCCTTGGAAGCCAGAGGGGAATTCTGGACTTGATTCTAAGTGGTGTCAGAAGCTACTAAAGAGTTGTAAACAGAGGCATGGCATGATCTGCCTTTTGTTTTCAAAAGTCTGTTGGCAGTGGGAGGACGGTGGTTGCAGGGGACAGTGGGAGGAAGCAGGGAGACCCCGTAAGTCTGTTCAGTTCCAGCCAGAGAGGATGAGGACTCTGGCTAGGGAGGGAGAGCAGGATAGTCAGGGTGTGCTCTAGGAGGTATGCTGATGGGAGCTGCTGATGGCACCAATGGAAGAGGGGGATTCAGAATTGGGGTTTGAGCAACTGGATGGGTGATGATGTGCATTTGCTGCTGTGGGGAAGAGCAGGTTTGTGGGGTGGAGGTGGGGGTCAAACTAGCACCACATTCATCGGGAAGCTGAGCAACAAGGTGTTGAACAAAACTCAACTTGTGCAGAGACAACCTGTAGAATGGGAGAAAGTATTTGCAAACTATTCATCAGACTAGGGACCAATATTCAGAATATATGAGGAATTCAAACCCCTACAAATAATCCAATTCAGAGGGTGCAAGCCCCAAGCTTTGGCAGCTTCCACATGGTGTTGAGCCTGCAAGAACACAGAAGTCAAGAATTGAGGTTTGGAAACCTCCACCTAGATTTCAGAGGATGTATGGAAATGTCTGGATGTCCAGGCAGAAGTTTGCTGCAAGGGCAGGGCTGTCATGCAGAACCTCTGCTAGAGCAATGTGGAAGGGAAATATGTGATTAGAGCCCCCACACAGAGTCCCTGCTGGGGCATAATCTAGTGGAGCTCTGAGAAGAGGACCACCATCTTCCAGACCCCAGAATGGTAGATCCACCGACAGCTTGCACTGTGCGCCTGGAAAAACCACAGACACTCAATGCCAGCCGTGAAAGCAGCCAGGAGGGAGGCTGTACCCTGCAAAGCCACAGGGGTGGAGCTGTCCAAGACTATGCAGACTCACCTCTTGCTTCAGCGTGACCTGGATGTGAGACATGGAGTCAAAGGAGATCATTCTAGAGCTTTAAGATTTGATTGCCCCACTGGATTTCGGACTTGCACGGGGCCTGTAACCCCTTAGTTTTGGCCAATTTCTCCCATTTAGAGTG